TCCAACAATGTGCAGGTTAGGTGGATTGACCATGCTAAATTGTCCATAGTGTCTTGGGATGTGCGGGCTAGGTGAATTATCCAATGGAAAATGCAGGATTACAGGGATAGGATCTGGGTGGGTTGCTCTTCAGAGGGTCAGTGTGGACTTGATGGGCTGCATGGTCTGCTTCCACACTGTAGGGATTCTATCACAGTGTTTGGCAGAAAATCTGCATTGGTTTAGCAATTCATGTGATTGGTATAAAAGATAACACGAGCCCAAGATGCCTAAGAGTGGTAACCAGCTTCCCAAGTTGTTTTATTGTATATTTTGCACTTCTGCAAATGTATAGAGTAGACAAAACATAACCCTTTTCACTCCAGCATTAAAAAAATCAGATTTCTTTTAAGGGGATACAGCTGCCTTCATAGAGGGAGCTGGGAGGGAGAGATTCCTGAGCCAGCTTCTTTACCGTGTGCTACCATATGGACAAGGGAGTTCTCAATAAATGGCAGGACACTGGGAAGCTCAGAGGTACAGCAGAATTTTGGGGTGCTCGTCCACAGATCCTTGAAGGTGGCAGACAGCTTAATAGCATACTTAAGAAGGTGAAAGGAATGCTTGCCTTTATCAATTGGTACAGAGATTATAAGAACAGGGAGGTTATGTTGGACCTGTACAGAACTTTGGTTAGGCCTCAGCTGGAGTACTGTGTATAGTTCTGATCACCAAACTGAAGGAAGGATGTGATTGCACTAGAGGGGTGCAGAGGAAATTCACCGAATGTTGCCTCAGGGATGGAACATTTCAGTTGCAAGGAGAGGCTGGATAAGTTTGGGTTGTTTTCTTTGGAGAGGAGAAGATTAAGGAGGAACTTGATAGATGTGTATAAGATTAGTAGGTTCATAGACAGTTTTTTTTTCTATTCATTTGTGGAATGTGGGCATTGCTGGCTGGCCAGCATTTCTTGCCCATCCCTAGCTGCCCTTGAGAAGGTGGTGGTGAGCTGTCTTGTTGACTGCTGCAGTCCACTAGTTGTAGGTTGACCCACAATGCCATTAGGGAGGGAATTCCAGGATTTTTAACCCGGCGATGTATTTCCAAGTCAGGATGGTAAGTGGCTTGGAGGGGGACTTGGAGGTGGTGGTGTTCCCATATGTCCGCTGTCCTTGTCCTTCCAGATGGAACTGGTCGTGGGTTTGGAAGATGCTGTTTGAGGATCTTTGGTGAATTTCTGCAGTGCATCTTGTAGATAGTACATACTGCTGCTACTGACAGAGTGATTAGAAAGTGAATAGAAAGTAGCTGTTTCTCTTACTGAAAAGGCCAATAATGAGGGAGCATAATTTTAGTGTGAAAAGCAAGTTTAGAAAAGATTTGAGGAAAGAAATGCTTTTACCCAAAGCGTGGTGGGGATCTGGAATGCACTGTCTGGGAAGTTAGTTAAGGCACAAAACTTACAACCTTTAAAAAGTACTTGGATTAGCACTTACTGTGCCATAACACTCAAAGCCATTGGCCCAGCAAGGGAAAATGGGACTTGTGTAGAAAGTAGTGTATTGTTGGCAGAATACACTCAATAGGCCGAAGGTCCTCTTCTGCACTTTCTCATTCTAAGAACTCTTGAGAGATTGCTGATTCATTCAGTTGGACATCCAAATTCTTTTCCTGCTGCATTACTTCTAATTTCAGTAGTGTAAATATTATGTGAAGTGTCTTTATTGTATCTAACACAAAGAGAATCACCATAGATCTGTGAAGCATAGGCCAATGGTAATGAATCTCGTCCTTTTTTTTGAGGAAGCCACCTGTGTGCCGGATAGGGGAGAATCCACAGATGTTGTCAGTATGGACTTCCAGATGCCATTTGTTAAGGGTCCAAACAAGACATCCTTCATAAAAACAAATGCGCAGGACCTTAAAATCATAAGATGCAGAAGCAGAAGTAAGCAATTCAACCCATCAAGACTGTTCCACTGTTCAATGTGAATATGACTGATCTCAACTCCACTTTCTTTCCTTGAGGGATTAGAGGTAATCTCGTGACATATATAATTGTTTTGGAGCTTATTCACAAAACAGTAGGAATAATAGGACTTTATCATAACTGGTACAATGAGAAATTTGGCATTCTCCAAGAATCTGTGGAGTACTGAATCCCTGGCTTTTCGCCACGTATCAATGATTTGTTATAAGGGAATAAATAGTTGCATATTCAGCTTTTTGATGATGGTAATTTTTAGATAGGAATATAAACATATTAAATGATAAGTTTGTATCAGAGACAGTAGGAACTGCAAATGCTGGAAAATCTGAGACAACAAGGTGCAGAGCTGGATG